GCAGAAATATAATTATTAAGTATCTCTATTAAAAGAATCGGTTAAATTAAAATGTTAAGAATTTATTAAAGAGAAAAACTACGAATTTTGCCCCCGAGTGAAGAGAGAATAATTCACACAAAAAACACGTACCTTGAAAAAGTTATTATTTTCGTTTTAATTCTGAGAAACTCAAGATGTCCGTTAAAAGAGAAAAAAAGACTATCGAATTTATTGAACACTTCTCTCGTTTCTTTTTTTTCCTAGTGGTTATAAAATGGCTGCTTAACAAAGGAAGAACGGCGTCTTTCTAAATGTTATTGATGTTTAATTGTATTAAAATATGTACCTCAGTGTACCAAGTCTACGATTTGATATAAGTTTCGTATGAGAAAAAAAGTTAGCAGAACTAAATATTCATGAAGTAAATGAAACATGTTTCCTATATTTCTCTTTTACGTATTGTCAAAACTATTCTTTTCTTAATATCTCGTAGTCTTCATTGAGTCTTAGAAAAAATAAAATGTATGTAATTAGCGGTTAATAGAAATGAAAAAATAACTTCCAATAAAAGCAGAATATCATTCCTTGTTCATAATAATAACATCAAAATGAAACGTTTTTTTAGAAAATAATAGCGTATTTAACTAGAAGAAGCTACAACGACTCAATTAATCACAAAAGTTTGCTATTGTCTTTTATATTCTAAAAATCTAATAACTCGATAAACAATATACAAATGGATAATGCATATAAATTTATATTTACTATTCTAACTTTGTTGTTAATTTCCAGCAATTCTGGATTTCTGTAGACACAGATGTCGCGAGAAAGTAATGTTTTGTCCAGAAAATTCCTGCTTCACCAGATCCGATCGTGTTGGTAGCACAACGTCTTATGCACTTACAAAGCTCTGACTCGGACGCGATCGTCAAAATTTTTTACTACTATTGATTCATAACTAAATCTGTGTTAAAATGAGCATCAATACATTGACAATTAGGTGTCCTCATTATCAACGAATTTGCGTCATTTAATTTCACCATAACGATATCTAATACCAGCCATTCATACTAAAAAGTAGTTACTGTAACTATTTTTATGTAACCCTCAGAAAGTAGTTACTCCTACTATTGTCTCTAGTACCAGCAACTACTCCGTAGTTATTTTAATTAGACAAACTAGTTAGTGTGACTACTTTCCGATAGTTAAAACAAAGTAGTAGCTGTAACTATTTCAATTTTTCTCAGTGTGGGCATTAAATACCTGTAAAGCACGTGTAGGATTGAAGGATTTAAATGCATTTGAACCTGCCCGTAGATTTTAAAATATTTACTTTAGATGATGTAAAAAATGATTGTGTAAATATTTCTCAAATTGTCAATGCCATTAATAAGGAAAAATATGTAATAAAAGATTGGATTTGATAAAATAATACTTTTTTATTTTTATTTATTTATAGATTTTTTAAAACTTAAAAAAGTTCACTGAGAAATACAGTAAAATTTACTGATAATCACAGTAAATTTTGTTAAAAGACTCACTGAATTTTTATTTAAAAACTTGGTAAAATTTACTGGGAAACGCAGCAAAAATTCATGCGGTAACCCAGTAAAATTTCTAAAGCCGGAAAAATTTTTACTGGGTTGCCCAATAAATTATACTGAGCGCGCGCATATGGTCCCGCATTACTGGGTTGTCCCAGTGAAATTTACTAGGCCGCTCAGTCGAACATAAAAAAAAAATTCTCAGTGTACGTACACCAAAAAATCGACTAATTCATGAACATCTAGGTTCCATAATCATATTCTATTTTATACCCAGCGAAGCGAGTGGATAACCACTAGTTATCAATAAGAACAATGATTATTGATATAATTATCGACAATATTGTTACGAATAGTTATTATTACTATAATGATCAGAAAAATATTAGTTGTAATAATAATTAGTAAATTTCAATTATTAAAAATAAGTGAAGTTTAATACGTGGGAAAATGTTGCAAAATATTTTTAAATGATAAGAAGAAATTAAAATATTAAATAAGATTAAAAAATAATTGATCTAACGACCAATTAATATATAAATGGTCATATAGCAATTTACTCGTCTAAAGCGAATTAAAATATGGAAAAATCGTAGATGCTACCACCAGTTGTTGAGTCACGTCTGATAAACAATTCAATCTATTGACACAACTATTGGTTTTTTTCCTGCTTTTTATTTTTGGACTATTGCCGTGTGGCCATATTCCAAACACAGGTTCGATAGCGGAAAAATGAGGTGTCAGCTGTTGTTACTGTACTTTTATTCGCATTATACTTCATATACCAGAATAAATAAAAGTGACTGGCGATATTCATACATAACTTTGTATTCAAAACAACAAAAATAATATTCTTATTTTATTTTTATCACAAATAATATTATCAGTTGCTCAGTCGACTATAACTATTTTATAAAATTTTTCCATTTTGTGTGGTATGAAAGTACTAGACGTGCTTCGGAAGATGTGACTCGTCACGCACATACTCGTCGAGAAATAAAAAATCTTGTAGTTCCTTGACGTTGTTCAGCGCTCGACGTCTTAATGTGAAAAGTTGGCAGGATGAAGAAGTTAATATCCGTGTCTTGTAGCAATGCGCTCTTTTCGTGAAATTGCTTGCCTATACTATGCTTTTTCGGCTTTACTAGTTCCATTTTTTTATACTACTTGCATCCGTAATCATCAAATGTAACTATATTTATTCAATAACAATATTTCCATAACAATATTCTGTTACTTTTTGGTTCTTATTATCGATAAGTAGAATTTATTTTAGGCATGCCTATTGGGCCTTTATTAGGAATTGAATGGGTTAGCGTTAATTAGGCATTCTTGACCTATGTCTGATCAATTAGTTTTTAGGATGAAATAAAATTTGCCCAATTTCGCACTACCCAATAACTTCCTAATTACAACTTTATGACCTTAACTAAAACGACGTCGTAGTTCGTTATTTATTAGGAAATGTTTATCAGGTTCACATTAGGCTAACAAAAATTACATCTAAATTACGCACATATTACATTAGCCTCATTCAAATGTTTGGAAAACAAATAAATGTATTTACGCGGAATTTTGATTAAAATGCGATCAATAATTGATATTTTAAGAATATAAAATCATAAAACATTAGATAATTATTGACTTAGTTTTTATGCTTCACTTGCCTTAATTAGGCTTTCCTCACACTGTAAATCCCAATTCTCCAAAATGCTTTATTTTAATGTGGATAAGTGTGTTAAATATGACGTCACCCATTTGATTAACATTGTAGTGACTTTTAACGGAGTTCTAAATATGTAACAAGTGACTACAATGTTAATCAAATGGGTGACGTCATATTTATCCGCATTAAAATGAAGCATTTTCGAAAACTGGGATTTACAGTGCACTTGGTCCCAATAGGGACAAGCGTTATGTTCCTAATATGAGACTAATGTGATTTTCTGTTTGGCGTCTAACTTGAATTCAGGACATTCGAATGGAATACGGAGCTTTTTTCCACAAATAAATTCTTCTCGGGTGCTTTTGAACGTACAAGATTCTGACTAATCCTGTAATTATAAATTAAATAATTTATGAGAAATCAAATGAGAGTTATCCGTGTCCAAAAAATTTTTATAAAAATATTTTTAGAATTAATTTACCACATGAATTTTTTTAATACTTACAGAATTATGTATGCTATTTTAACACTCTCCCTCCCCTACAAGTAAACCAAATTCTAAAAAATTACCAAATTCTGATTTAATGAGAATTTTCATTAATTTAAGTAATGCCGTTAATTTTTATGAATAGAAATCGATTGGGAGTTAATGAATTTTATTAATATTAGTTTTTGTTACAAAGAAAAATTTCTCATTTTTTTATTACAATGCAGATTTTATTTTGTAAAAAAGATTCTTATTTGTATTTAATTTTTTAAATAACTCAATTTGAAGTAAAAAACATTGGTATGGGCAAAAGGCGAATCGATCTTTGGAGAGCAAGGTCATAGATTTTTTTTTAAAAATTATCAATTTTAGTATTTATAAATTTGGTAAAAATTTCATATTTTGAAGCATTGCTTTAAATAAATTCGTCATTCATCTATCCAAACATAGATGAAGATACATAATTTTTTTATAATATTATGGAGCGCGGATGGGCATACTTTAACTTTTGCAGGGCACCAGTATAAAGGTATACCTAGTAAAATCTTACACCTCTCTCACTCTTACTTGCAAGAGTAATAGCTCGGAAAATTATACATGGAAAAGTACATTGGCTCTGAAGAGCCACGATTGCCCACCTTTATAATATAGAGAAATGGAAAATATGGTAGTAATCTAAATGGTAAACTTCAAACAATATTAGACGAACCTCGTTTTTATTACTCATATCCAATTAAAATATTTATAACAAGCTATTCTAAAATAGAAGAATATTTTCAATTATTGTGCAATTTATAGAACCATTTTTTTAATGATTTAAATAATTTAAATAATTCAGTGAGTTTTAGTTTAACGCAGAGAGAAAAAAAGAAAGATTTAACATAATATATCGATTTCCTTTCTAACAAATTATAGTTAAATTATTTTTTGATTATGAAACAACTTATTCAATTTGACTACTTATTCTACATAGCTACTAATTCTTTCTAACATAATTTTGTTTAATTAATGGAAGTATAAGAATAAAATTCTTATAACATAATAAAAACTGCTATAATTCTTCTGTTATAAATACTGGAAAACTATGTTTTATTTTTTTACATACAAACTGGAAATCATGGCACAAACATCAGAAATATGTGTTGTCAACTTTTTTAACGCGAAGCTTTTACAAGATTAATATTCAATGACAAACAGTGTGTGAGGTACGGGAGAATGAACGGATGTTAGTGTGAGAGTTACATGAAAGGAAGGATGTTAGTGGACGCGAAAGGGTTTTAGTGTGCATTTTAATGAAAAGCCGTCCTATCTTGTTTTTCAGTAAGCCAAAGCCTTCTTGAACAGAGGAAAAGAGACTAGGATATTCGTGCCGTGCGTTGGCGCAGTTGTGTATAAAGCGGAGCCAAAAAACCGGAAATGGCGCAGGGGTGGTTTCTGCTCGCATTTATTGCGACTCATACCAATGCTCTTCCGGACCATATCAGGATAGGTGAGTATCCAGGCACCATATCTAATTGAATTATACACTATGATCCGTTTACACAGAATGTATTATCATTCATGATGGCGAGTTTATTTTCTGACGAATTTGGTAGTTAAATATCATGGAGATGCTAAATAGAGATTTCCAAGTTATATATTTATGATTCACGAGCAATTTTGGATAAAGATAGAAATTCTAAATGGGATACAGAGTTAAGAGTAGGCAGAAATGCTTGAGAGGAAGTTGAATGTGCTCCGACCATAAATTATTCATTCGTTTCCTGAGTGCCTTTTAATCTTCCGTGCATCGGAAGTTGGAGTAGGTGTTTAGATTCTCTTTATTCTATATTACAGGATCCTAGTAGGCAATTGTACTCCCTTTCTATCTCTAGCTCTACTTTTTCTGCTGTTGTAGACGAAATGAAAGTAGGAAGTGCGGCATTATATAATTGCATTTTCCCCATCACTGCAAAATTGAGAGCCGGAGATGAACTGAAAAGGTATGATCAAATGACTTACTTTTTGAGAAAAAACTTTTTATCCATCTGTGAATACTTAATACGAAAAGAATAAGTACGTGGGTCGATATGTGGACTACTCAATTTATTGAGTAAATTTCCATTAAATTACACATACTGCTGATATGTGTTCTACACTGTAAATTCCAATAGTGTAAAAGTAATGTACTTTAGGTGCGTTTAATTTAAGATTACTACATACAAAGTATAGAGTCCTTTAACTATTTTTAATACATTTTAAAATGTAATCGAATTTATACTTATTTTTTACAAATTTTGAATTAAACTCATATATTTAAGAATCTACAAAAGTATGTCAGAATATAAGGCAAAATATCTATAATTATCGGTAAGTATACATCCGCCAAAAACAGATATCGTTCAATATCTGTAAAAAAAAACGGCGCCACGTCACTGTTGTTTGAAAATCCGATATTTTTAAATTATTCTACATGCAAAAAATGTTTGAAATCATAAAATTGCGCCAAGTTTGACTTGCCATGATCGTAAAACTAATTTTTAAGAATTATATCCGGAAATCTTCTATCAATAGAGGACATTAAAAAAATTGGGACACGTGTTATGACATTTTTTTTAACTAGCTACTTTTTCAGATTAAGTAAAAATTGATTGCAAAAAAAATTTATCGTAAATTTTCATCTACCAAATTACTTTTCAAACCATTTCAAGAAAATTTGATGAAGTATTTTCTTACACAATTCATCGAAAGTATTTTAAAATAATTATTCAAAAATAAGAATTTGGTTAGTTGCAGAGTCATTTAGGATGTGTACATAGCGCAAAGTTTTACTTTCATCCGATGATGGCAGTTTTATTTAGTAGGATACTTCAAACACTTGAAAAAAAATTCTGAATAAGATTTATGCTATCAAATGTTTTTTTAATATTTTGATCAAACATTCGATCTACAATTTCTTACGCACACTCATTTGATTTTTTTATTAAACAATTGATAAAAACATTTTTATGGTTTTACGATCATAGCAAGTCAAACTTAGTGCAATTTTATGATTTTAAACATTTTTTGCATGTAGAACAATTTAAAAATATCGGATTTTCGAACAACAGTGACGTGGTGCCGTTTATATTACAGATATTGAACATATCTGTTTTTGGCAGATTTTACTTACTTATTTCAATAAGTTTTCATATTAGATTAGATAATATTGATTTCATTGAAAAATTAGAAAATTACGATATCGCGGAATTGCCGTGATAACTTAACTTTACACCAAAGATTAATAGATAACAATAAATGTTTTTTTAAAGTTTATTTCCTTTCGTCGGTAACTTTATTTTAATTAAAGTTCGTTGTTAAGAATTAATTAATTCTCAGTTTGAATTTACTAGCTGACAGGAACGTCGGCGGCCATCTCCGGACTGGGTCGATAACCAATCGACCGAATAATCAATATTTCCCAATCTAGTCACTCCTTTGACAGATTTTCAGTGTCCCTTTTGACTAATGAAGTTCCTGTTGCGATTCTTTCACTGTTCTCATTCACGTGTACATACCATTCTAATTCTTTTGTCTAAAATCTTCCTTATTCGAGTCAATCATTAGTGCTAGTGTATATTGTTCATTGCTAGTGCTGAAAATAAAGATTACATATTGTTTATAAAACCTCACTTCCTAATTTCTCTGATCCAGTACAATCATCCCTATCCTTATACGGTTAGATTATTCAAAGTTGAGATTTTCTTAACAGATGGTAATGTTTATTCAAAACTAACTAGAAAAGATAAAGAAAATGACAACTGAATTTGTTACAAATAATTAATTAATCTCAACTTTGAATAATCTAACCGTATAAGGATAGGGATGATTGTACTGGATCAGAGAAATTAGGAAGTGAGGTTTTATAAACAATATGTAATCTTTATTTTCAGCACTAGCAATGAACAATATACACTGTACAACTTTTTTGTCGCTGAATAAAAAGAATGAATGTCTTTAGAGATCACTGAATGTCAATTGAGATTACTGAGTTTTAATTAAATGTCTAAAAGACACTCAACTTGGTGTGTTCGGTATTATTGACCTCCCACACGAGCTCAGCACGCTTCTCAAGTTTAGCAAGAATATGATTGTACACGTGGAGTTAGCCTATCAATGCAATGCAAAATGAATTTAATTCAATTAGTTGGATTCACAGTGAATTGTCTTGAATTACTAATTGATTTAGTTGTAAAATGAAAAAATGAATGTTTCTGTCGTTTCAGAATGACACTAGCACTAATGATTGACTCGAATAGGGAAGATTTTAGACAAAAGAATTAGAATGGTATGTACACGTGAATGAGAACAGTAAAGAATGGTGACAGGAACTTCATTGGTCAAGATGGAGACTGAAAATTAGTCAAATGAGTGACTAATGAGTTGACAAACTTGAGAATTAATTAATTCTCAACACTATCCATATCCAAAAATTAAATAAACTTCCGTTATACATCATTCATATTTTAAGATATATCTATCTATCTCCACCTCATTTGTCAAAGAAGACTCCGAGTTCGAGTAGTTGATGAGCAAGCTCAGCCCCCACCTTTACTTTTGTTTCCAAGCTTGAAGCTTGAGAGTGTGAAGTATGGGGGTATGAAGGGAATACATGAATTTAAACAACATAAATAAATGTATATGTGGACTCTATAAACAGAGCGCTCGACTTTTATTTTGCCGACTGATGTTCGGTTCCAATAACGCAAAATTGTTTTTTATTTAAATTGCATGTAATTGCAATTTGATCATGCCAATATAAGTTTTATATGTCAATTTTACTTTTTCAATGAAACTATTTTTCAGTTAATCGATGACAAATGAGAAAATATTTGAACAGGCCATAAATCCTTTTTTATCCAGCCACATTGATAGTAGCCTTTTTTTGACGACTTATTAGCAATAAAAAAAAGATTAAACAATCCGCGGTGAGTTCCAGTATTTCACCGGCAAGCTTTATTTCTACCCTTTGTGCTCAACCTTGCAGCTTATGATTTATAAACATAAAAAATAATAGAGCTAATATGCTAGCTCTGTAGTCAGAGCATCATACTCTTATTTTACAGGCGAGGGCTCGATTCCAGTCACAACCAATTTTTTTTTCTTTTTTTTGTTAGATTTACATGTAATTATTGTTCGTATATGCCAAAATTAATTTTTAATAATGATTTGATTTTGTTTCTAATTACTCGTTTAATTTATCGACGCCGCATGAGAAAACATTAAGACAGGGTTACACAGAGAAAAATAATCAGAGCTATATTACTTGACTAATCAAGTAAACTTATTCTAGAAAACGTCACTAGAATTCTAATTAATTTTTATTTGCAGTGTAAAACAGTTTGTCATAAAATTTGATAAATAGTATTAGAAATATCAAGCAGAGTCAATTTAAGATTTTTTACTTCATTTCTTAATCACTTTCTTATGTTGTCTAGTAAAAATGACTGGATGAACGAAAATAATGAGAGTCAACCTTATTAGTTGACTAGTCGATTCAAGTCATTCTAGAAAACGTTGCTAGAATTCTAGTAAAATTTTATCGGTAGTATAGAACAGTCTTTCACACTTTCTGATAAACGGTATGTGAATAACCATGTTGCCACAATTCCATATAAATAAAAATTTTGATTCTTTCCAATAGTTTCGGATAGCCGAGCGACTGAAGCATCGGTTCAGTTAGTTGCGTGCGTTACAAGCGATCGTAGGTTCGAATCTCTTCAATAGAATATTCTTTACTAGCTTAAAATCTGCGTTTCTTGCAATTTTTAAACTGCGAATACGTAAAATTGGTGTTGAGCATATACATAGGGTCTATCAAAAATAATTTTTTAATTATCTTAATTATTTTTATTAATTGGTTTTTCGCATTTTCTGCGTAAACCGCCATGATTTTTACGATAGATAATTTAAAGAGTATAATATTTCTTAAACATTATAGTAGATAATACGTTACATGAATGAAATCGATTGTTGATAATTTTACCAAATAATTAATTTTTTTAGTATGTTGTTGAAAAATTTGATTTAATTAGCTACAACATTCGTAAAAATTACTCTCTAATCAAGTAAATTTTACTAGAATTTATCGTAAACCTCGAGTATCTATTGATGAGACATTTCTAGTAAATTTTGCTTGACTCTACAATTATCCATATAAGTGAAAGAGTTTCTAGTAAAGTTTTCTAGAAATATGGTCATGACTATTTCCTCGTGAAAATACGATAAAATATCAGATTCAAGTTTGAATAGGATTAAAATTCATTCATTTTTTCATTTTATACAAATAATATTTAATGGATTATGCTTCTATTATGACTCCGTCCGATAGGATGCAGTTTGATTTTCTAGGGTAATGAGGAAACAGTCTCTACACGATTTAAATAAATCCAATAAGGAAATAATACTAAAAATTACTTTTTTCGTTTAAACAATGCTTTTAAAAAAGGTTGAATAATATAGGCTTTTTCC